TTGTTTATACATGGAGTCATTTCCCCCCCTTATTATTTACATGGAGTCATATCCCCCCCTTTATGTATTATACTTGGAGATCATACCCCCCCTTATGATTATCCCGGAGACATACCCCCTTTTGTATTATACACGGAGTCATACCCCCCCCTTATGTTTTTAAACAGGGTCATATCCCCCCTTTGATTTAATGGAGATCTATCCCCCCTTTTGTATTATACTGGAGACTACCCCCCCTTATGTATTACAGGAGACATATCCCCCCTTATGTATTAACAGGAGTCAATCCCCCCCTTATGTTTATCCCGGATCATATCCCCCCTTTTTATGTATTATCCCCGGAATCTTATCCCCCCTTTGTATTATACATGGGGAAATACCCCCCCTTATGTATTATAATGGGATCAGGGGGCCCACAGCATGACTCACTACACCACCCCATTCCCCAGTGTCAGTAACCCTGTGACCAATCACAGCGCCCGTGTCAGTTGATACAATGGGCTTTACCCAATCACAGGTGATCACATCAAAAGACTGAATTAATCAGTTTCATTCAGTACATTATTAATTTTTTTTTTTTTTTTTTTTACTATTTTATTTTTCAGTACTCTGTGACCAAAGCAACACAATGTTACCATAGTAACATGGAACTACTCTGGGCGAGTGATCAGGATTTTTTTTTTAACACACATTATGATTGCTAATACCGATGTATTTCATTGATATTTGCGATTATAATAATAACAATAATAATTGCAAATATAAAATACATCGGTATTAGCAATCATAATGTGTTAAAAAAAAAATCCTGATCAACTCGCCCAGAGTAGTTCCATGTTACTATGGTAACATTGTATTGCTTTGGTCACAGAGTGCTGAAAAAAAAATAGTAAAAAAAGAAAAAATGTAATAAAAAAAGATAATAGTAAGGGAAAACCTAAATACCCTCCCAGCAGCCATCACCAGGTGCAAACAGATTACTGGAATCTGCTGGCTGTTGGAGACACCCGCTGGTGGACTCCGCAACTACAACTCTCCGCTCTGGGAAGCACTGTGCCTCCGGCAGATGATCCAGGTCCTGACACTCTGTGTGACACGTAAGACTCAATCAATTGTAGCGGATCGTATGGAATACTGATTTCACAAGATGAAAAGTGATATGTATAGAAACATGTATGTTGTGATTGTACAACTTTACATTCTCATTTGACGTCAGACTGTACCATCAAGATCTTTAACAGCAAATGTTGGGCCAGTCCAGAAGGAGCAAAATCTGAGATAATACAATCTATTGTTTTTAAGGAGCCAAGTCTCTCCCCTGCAGAGAAGGACCCTTGGTCCTGTGTGGAAGCAGTGGTCTCTATGCATAGGTCAAAGCCTAGAGCTCTGCAGTCAGCAAACCCATGCTCCCTGTTGATTGGCAAGCTATAGGTCTGACTCACTGGAGACCGCTGCTTCCACACAGCACGGGTCCATCTCTGCAGCATGCTGGCAGGGGACAGGCTTTTCTACTCAGGCTGTGGCTGCTAAAGAAAGCCGACTGTAAGACTTTGGACACCTTTTTGCTTTTGTTGCACCTCAAATGTTTTCAGCTGTAAGTTCACCTTTAGCAACATTTTACTTAAAGTCCTCCATGCAGATCCCCAGAATAATACATACCCTCCATGCAGATCCCCAGAATAATACATACCCTCCATGCAGATCCCCAGAATAATACATACCCTCCATGCAGATCCCCAGAATAATACATACCCTCCATGCAGATCCCCAGAATAATACATACCCTCCATGCAGATCCCCAGAATAATACATATCGGCGCCCCTCATTTTCAAATGCTGCCCCCCGCTTTCCATGACGTACCGCAGAGGTATGGATCCTCCACCCCCCCCCCCCCCCTCTGTCCTACTGTTTGCAGGATGGGCTGTTGGCTAGAATTGTGCACCACCTAGTGGCCACTTCAGTCCGTTCAAACTGCGTGCACGCGCAGCGCGCTCCCTCTCGCCTCCTTTAACTGCAACAGCTGCGCAGAGCGGGAGGTCGGTGAGGAAGATGTTAAAATTCCTGTGAATTCGCCGATTCTGTTGTTTTCTTCCCTGCGAGGTGCAAATTATTCTTCACAGCTTTCTGCAGATGAGCACACAGAGAAAATGAAAGCGGCTTCTGTGCAACGCGAGGTACCGCCATACTTACGAGGAAACGCACTCTACAATTAGCACACTAAATATAGAAGTAGCGTGCAATTATGTGAACGGGGGGATGTCCCTAAGTCAGAAAATACAAATTGCCAACCAATGAATGATTAGCACAAAAGGATAAAAACAGTCATTCCGCAGAGCATTGCACCCGGCAGGAATTCCAGCGCACACCATGCTGAACGGCCTCCATGTAAGCGTGAACAACTACCGGTCAGGGACCTACATTATATTGCCCAACGTATTGTCCCCGCCCTCCATATCATGTGATTTAGGTGTTCCAATCCCCTCCATATCATGTGATTCAGGTGTTCCAATCCCCTCCCAATCATGTGATTCAGGTGTTCCAATCCCCTCCCAATCATGTGATTCAGGTGTTCCAATCCCCTCCAAATCATCTGATTCAGGTGTTCCAATCCCCTCCCAATCATGAGATTCAGGTGTTCCAATCCCCTCCATATCGTGTAAATCAGGTGTTCCAATCCCCTCCATATCATGTGATTCAGGTGTTCCAATCCCCTCCAAATCATGTGATTCAGGTTTTCCAATCCCCTTCATATCATGTGATTCAGGTGCTCCGATCCCCTCCATATCGTGTGATTCAGGTGTTCCAATCCCCTCCCAATCATGTGATTCAGGTGTTCCAATCCCCTCCCAATCATGTGATTCAGGTGTTCCAATCCCCTCCAAATCATCTGATTCAGGTGTTCCAATCCCCTCCCAATCATGTGATTCAGGTGTTCCAATCCCCTCCAATCATGTGATTCAGGTGTTCCAATCCCCTCCATATCATGTGATTCAGGTGTTCCAATCCCCTCCATATCATGTGATTCAGGTGCTCCGATCCCTTCATATCGTGTGATTCAGGTGTTCCGATCCCCTCCAATCGTGTGATTCAGGTGTTCCGATCCCCTCCCAATCGTGTGATTCAGGTGTTCCGATCCCCTCCCAATCGTGTGATTCAGGTGTTCCGATCCCCTCCAAATCGTGTGATTCAGGTGTTCCGATCCCCTCCCAATCATGTGATTCAGGTGTTCCGATCCCCTCCCAATCATGTGATTCAGGTGTTCCAATCCCCTCCATATCATGTGATTCAGGTGTTCCAATCCCCTCCCATATCATGTGATTCAGGTGTTCCAATCCCCTCCATATCATGTGATTCAGGTGCTCCAATCCCCTCCATATCATGTGATTCAGGTGCTACAATCCCCTCCATGGACACAGGTGTATACAATCAAGCCCCTAGGCATGCAGACGGCTTCTACAAACATTGGTGAAAGAATGGGTCGCTCTCAGGAGCTCAGTGTGCTCCAAGCGTGGTCCCGTGATAGGTGGCCACCTGGGCAATAAGTCCATCCGTGACATTTCCTGGCTACTAAATATTCCACGCTCAACTGTTAGTGGGATTATAACAAAGTGGAAGCAACTGGGAACAACAGCCACTCAGCCACCAAGTGGTAGGCCACGTCACATGACAGGGCGGGGTCAGCGCATGCTGAAGCGCACAGTGCGCAGAAGTCGCCAACTGTCTGCAGAGTCAATAGCTAAAGACCTCCAAACTTGGTGTGGCCTTCAGATGAGCCCAACAACAGTGCGTAGAGAGCTTCATGGAATGGGTTTCCATGGCCGAGCAGCTGCATCCAAGCCTTCCATCACCAAGTGCAATGCAAAGCGTTGGATGCCGTGGTGTAAAGCACACCGCCACTGGACTCCAGAGCAGAGGAGGCGTGTTCTCTGGAGTGACCAATCACACTTCTCTGTCTGGCAATACGATGGATCGTGTCTGGGTTTTGCGGTTGGCTGGAGAACGGTACTTGCCTGACTGCATTGTGCCAAGTGTAAAGTTTGGTGGAGGGGGGATTATGGTGTGGGGTTGTTTTTCAGGGGTTCGGGCTTGGCCCCCTAGTTCCAGTGAAGGGAACTCTTAAGGCGACATTTTGGACAATTTCATGCTCCCAACTTTGTGGGAAGAGTTTGGGGATGGCCCCTTCCTGTTCCAACATGACTGCCACCAGTGCACAAAGCAAGGTCCATAAAGACATGGAGGAGCCAGTTTGGGGTGGAGGAACTTGACTGTCCTGCACAGAGTCCTGACCTCAACCCCATAGAACACCTTTGGGATGAATTAGAGCGGAGACTGTGAGCCAGGCCCCTCCCCCGACATCAGTGCCTGACCTGACAAAGGCGACATTTTGGACAATTTCATGCTCCCAACTTTGTGGTAAGAATTTGGGGATGGCTGTAACCCTTAAGAGTAGGTGAGCCTGCTCAGCAGGAACGGGAGAGTTCGGGTGGAAGACAGAGAGGAAGATGTGAGGCCGAAGGTAGGAGCCTTGGAGGGGGCCTGGATGGAGAGAGCGGACCACCTACAGTCAGTGGAGCTGGAAAGGAAGAAAGTTCAGAGCTTCACTGGCCCCCTGAGAGAAGACCACCTGCACAGCAAGGAAGGAGAAGCCCAGTTGATAGGCCTGGTAGCAGCCACCAACCCATCAGTGGTACAGGAGAGGATCTGAGTGAGTGCCCCTGCACCCCCTCTGTGGTTAGGGGAAGGAGCACTCCGGTGGGAAACCAGATTCACCACCTACCTGGGACTGTCCATTTCTTAAAGCGACAAGAACCGGATCCTCTGCTTAGGGATACCTCCAGATTGCTGGGTGAAGGAAGAGGAGTTCCTCTGGGGTCTGGGGTCTGGGGTGGTACACTGAGGAGAACCTGGCTAGCTCCCCAACAGAGACTATGCTGCAGAGAAGGCTTGGAAACAGTTCCCGGAAGTTGTCCTCCATTCATCGGTTCCCTTGTACACCCCTGACCCTCTTCCGGTTCAAATCCACCTAATAAAATCACAAAACCAAAGCTCAAGGACTGATCTCTGACTCCTGGATGCAAGCCTGTGTGAAGATGCGTGTTGCCTGGCTGTGCAGGACTATAGGGGGACCCGATAACTTCTTTGCAACTCCTAAGGGGGGTAAGTGCTACAAATTGCTTTGCAGCAGTGTGAACTGGGGCTTATAAAGGGCCCGCAATGGGTGGGGAGGGACCTGGGACCAGTGAAGAGACCCCTGGGACTGAAGGAAAAGACCCAAATGGTCAGGGGTCCTGAAAGTCCTAGTTACACCTCTGGGATGAAGTCGTGTCAGCTGCAGAATTCACTGGCATGCGTGTTTTAGTACATTTCTCAGTAATCAAGCGCAAAAAAAAATAAAATGATGATTGCAATAGATGCAAATAATATCAGTAAGATGCATGGAGTATGGACGTCCCATTGCTGAAGTTTGTCTCCGCCTGCTGGCAGAACTGGGGAAGTGCTGCCTGTAAGTAGATTTTATTTACGAGACGGAAGCCTGGCGCCCAATCTGCAGCCCGAGGGCCATAAGTGTCCCTTTGGCAATTACTGTGTGGCCCTTGGGGCTCCTGAAGACAGTGCGCTTTTTTTAATGCTTGCTCAAACCAGTGAAAGAAATCTATCCTTCAGACTGACTCAGTAGAAGCTCTTCATCCCTTTTCTCTTTTTATTTATTTTTCCTCTGATTTATGATGGATCTAAGAGAAACGTCCGATGTGACACAAACCATCATGAAGGGGCTGCAGGGAGCACACATGTGAAAGAGCTGACTTGGAAAGGGGCTTGTGACAGCAGTGATCTCTAACATTCCCATGTAACATATCTCCAGTCTATGATTGAAGCATGTCCCGGTCTCCACGAACTCCTACAGCATGTCTGCAGTCTCTGGTCTCCTGTACTATGTCTGCAGTCTCTGACCATCTCCTGTACTATGTCTGCAGTCTCTGGTCTCCTGTACTATGTCTGCAGTCTCTGACCATCTCCTGTACTATGTCTGCAGTCTCTGACCATCTCCTGTACTATGTCTGCAGTCTCTGACCATCTCCTGTACTATGTCTGCAGTCTCTGACCGTCTCCTGTATTATGTCTGCAGTCTCTGACCGTCTCCTGTAGTATGTCTGCAGTCTCTGACCATCTCCTGTACTATGGCTGCAGTTCCTGACCATCTCCCGAAGCATGTTGCAGTCTCTAACAATCTCTTGTATCATGTCTGCAGTCTCTGACCATCTCCTGTACTATGTCTGCTGTTCTGACTGTCTCCTGTAGTATGTCTGCAGTCTCTGACCGTCTCCTGTAGTATGTCTGCATCTCCCGAAGCATGTTTGACCGTAACTCCTTGTAGTATGTCTGCAGTCTCTGACCGTCTCCTGTAGTATGTCTGCTGTTTCTGACTGTCTCCTGTAGTATGTCTGCAGTCTCTGACCGTCTCCTGTTCTATGTCTGCAGTCTCTCACCGTCTCCTGTATTATGTCTGCAGTCTCTGACCGTCTCCTGTAGTATGTCTGCAGTCTCTGACAATCTCCTGTAGTATGTCTGCAGTCTCTGACCGTCTCCTGTAGTATGTCTGCAGTCTCTGACCATCTCCTGTAGTATGTCTGCAGTCTCTGACCATCTCCTGTAGTATGTCTGCAGTCTCTGACAATGTCCTGTAGTATGTCTGCAGTCTCTGACCGTCTCCTGTAGTATGTCTGCAGTCTCTGACCGTCTCCTGTAGTATGTCTGCAGTCTCTGACCATCTCCTGTAGCATGTCTGCAGTCAGATGGTGGACTGGAGTTGAGAAACACTGCGATATGCTAACATGGAACATGATGATAGGAGGAGAGATCAGAGATGAATTTTACTGCCCAATCACAGGCTGGGGGAGGGACAAGACCTGTAGGTGTGACTGAACTGCAGCAGAGAAAATCTGGTCTCCTGACCTGTCAGACCGGGCTGTGCTGCGTGGCAGAGCTGTGTAAACCTCGGGATTGGATGGCCAGAAACATCACAGCGGTGTCTGTACATGGGACTGATAGCGGGATTCGGGACAGATGGCGGGGAGCTGCTGCGTCATCGAACAGGAATGCTGCTTTGCTCGCCCTATCAGGGTCATTCTGCGTCGCAGCGTCCTTATAGATGTGTCACCGGATTGTCATTCCAGCCGTGCTGTTTAACTGCTCATCTCCATGACCTTGAAGGGGAAGTCATGTTCTCCCCCCTCCCCCACATGGCGCTGGGAACGCCATTCACATATAAAAGGACAGCAGCGAGAGATTAATGACACACTGCGGCTGTGGAGGGTTTGTAGCTTCATGGCTGCGAAATGAAAATCCCCTTTAAGCTGCAGCACTTGGGGAAGCCGGAAATACAGATGTTGGGAATGTTGTAGACTCCCCCAATGGTAATATTCCCTCAGACTAGTTGGTGTCTCTGCCCCTCCCACAATGGGGAGATTTCCCTGCAGTAGTGTGTCTCTGCCCCTCCCACAATGGGGAGATTTCCTGCAGTAGTTTCTGTCTCTGCCCCTCCCACAATGGGGAGATTTCCAGCAGTAGTTTGTGTCTCTGCCCCTCCCACAATGGGGAGATTTCCTGCAGTATTTTGTGTCTCTGCCCCTCCCACAATGGGGAGATTTCATGCAGTAGTTGGTGTCTCTGCCCCTCCCACAATGGGGGGAGATTTCCCTGCAATAGATTTCCTTGGTGTCTCTGCCCCTCCCACAATAGGGAGATTTCCTGCAGTAGTTTGTGTCTCTGCCCCTCCCACAATGGGGAGATTTCCCCAGTAGTTTGTGTCTCTGCCCCTCCCACAATGGGGAGATTTCCCCAGTAGTTTGTGTCTCTGTCCCTCTGCCCCTCTGCCCCTCCCACAATGTGGAGATTCCCCGCAGTAGTTTGTGTCTCTGCCCCTCCCACAATGGGGAGATTTCCCTGCAATAGTTGGAGTCCCTGCCCCTCCCACAATGGGGAGATTTCCCTGCAATAGTTGGAGTCCCTGCCCAACCACAATGGGGAGATTTCCCTGCAATAGTTGGAGTCCCTGCCCCTCCCACAAAGGCTTAAGGAAGCTTTCTTTGAACTAGAGCTCTGAAAAAAAGCCTGGTTGCAATATGGCTGACAACACCATGACACGCCTCACCGGGCTTTTTTGTGGCATTGGTGCAGTAAAAGCTTCTTTCTAGCAACTCGGCCATTCAGCTCATTTTTGTTCCAGTATCGTCATATCGTTCTCCTTGAAACAACCACACCATCCTTTTCCAGAGCGGCCTGGATTTCTCCTGAGGTTCACTGAGGGGTTTGCTTTGTATCCTGAACAATCCTTCTGGCGGTTGTGGCGGCGATCTTTCTCCGTCTACCTGAACTTGGCTTATCAAGAGATCCCCAAATTTTCCACTTCTTAATAAACGATTGATCGGCACTGACCGGCGTACTCAAGGCTTTGGACATCTTTTCATATCATTTTCCATCTTTAGAAAGTTCCATTACCTTGTTACGCAGGTCTTTTGACAGTTCTTTTCTGCTCCCCATGGCTCAGTGTCCAGCCTGCTCAGTGCATGTGAGAGCGAACAAACTCACTGACTATTTATACACTGAAAGCCACAGATGTGAGGTATTAACCCTTTACTTACCATTGCACCCTGTGTGTGTCCCCTTGTGTGTCTGTACCAAGCCCGAACCTTCCAGGGGGCGGAGACGTCTGATCCGGGGGTGGAGATGTCTGATCCGGGGGCGGAGAGGTCTGATCCGGGGCAGGGACGTCTGATCGGGGGGTGGGACATCTGATCCGGGGGCGGAGACGTCTGATCCGGGGGCGGAGAGGTCTGATCCGGGGGTGGAGACGTCTGATCTGGGGGCGGAGACGTCTGATCCGGGGGCGGAGACGTCTGATCCGGGGGGGCGGAGACGTCTGATCCGGGGGCGGAGGGAGACGTCTGATCCGGGGGCGCAGACGTCTGATCCGGGGGCGGAGAGGTCTGACGTGGGGACGTCTGATCGGGGGGTGGGGACGTCTGATCCGGGGGCGGAGAGACGTCTGATCCGGGGGTGGAGACGTCTGATCCGGGGGCGGAGACGTCTGATCCGGGGGTGGAGGGGCGGAGATGTCTGATCCGGGGGCGCAGACGTCTGATGCGGGGCGGAGACGTCTGACGTCTGATGCGGGGCGCGGAGACGTCTGATCCGGGGGGAGGAGACGTCTGATCCGGGGGGCGGAGACGTCTGATGCGGGGGCGCAGATGTCTGATGCGGGGGCAGAGACGTCTGATGCGTTGGCGGAAACGTCTGATCCGGGGGGCGGAGACGTCTGATCCGGGGGAGGAGACCTCTGATCCGGGGGCGGAGATGTCTGATCGGGGGGCGGAGACGTCTGATCCGGGGGCGGAGATGTCTGATTCAGGGCGGAGACGTCTGATCCGGGGGCGGGCCATTTGAGGGATTTCATTAGGATTTTAAAGGGAGCCAATGAACGGCGTGATCATAAATGGCGTCCTAAGATCGCTATCCGCCAATAAAAGACAGTTTTCTGGAGGATCCGGCAGATTTTCACCATTTCTGCCAGAGGAGGGAGACTTCGGAGTGCAGTTTTCATCCCAATATACAGCAGAATGGAAATGGTTGCACCCGCCCCTTCGTCATTGGAGATTGTTGATTTGTTACAATCCGGATTCTTTTGGCCAATATGTATCATTATACAAATTCCTTCTACAATAAAGACCACGCCCCCTTCCGTGTGAATGACACGCCCATGCGCCTTGTGCACTCTGTTCTTCACACGTTGCCACTCCTGGTTGCCCATTTGTTTCAGCAGGTTGCCCGGCACGTGACACGCACAGCAACATTTTGTGCCTTTTTGCCTTGTTTGCTGTGTGTTTTTTTACCTTCCCCAGTCCCCCCATCAACGTTCCAATTACATTTTTAAAGTAGGACTTTCTGTTTTCTTTCCACACCTTATTTAAGAACCGCTGACACAGTTACTATGGTCACTGTGCTTCTCTAAGCAATGCAGGCAGATCATGGCTGGTGGGAGGGGCCTGTGCATAGCTTTCTGAAAGCATCCCAGCACCCTGCCTCAGTACTCCTCTCAAGAGCCCTCAGACCTAATGCAAGCAGTGGGTGGGCTTTTGGGAGTGGCTATGCAAATATCAAAGTGCCTTGATGGGTGGGTGTCAGTTTGGAGGAGTGGGTGTTCATTGGCAGGTTGTATTTGGATAAGTAACGCCCACTTGTGATGCTGAGCCTCCATGATTGAAAGAACTGAAATCCAGTGAATGAAAGGGGCGGGGCCAGGGACAGCCAGGCTGGGGAGGAAAGTGCAAGAGAATGCTGGACGTCCTCCAGCCAGGAGATGAGGCGGAGCTCTATCTGATTGGTTGCAGCTTCTAATGCACATTGTGAGAAGCTCCCAGTGTGCGGTGATATTAGAGGAAGACATTCCAGTCCAGGGAAGGAGCCGGTACACCTGTGCAAGACTGAAGGGGAGGAGCCGGTACACCTGTGCAAGACTGAAGGGGAGGAGCCGGTACAGCTGTGCAAGACTGAAGGGGAGAAGCCGGTACAACTGTGCAAGACTGAAGGGGAGGAGCCGGTACGCCTGTGCAAGACTGAAGGGGAGGAGCCGGTACACCTGTGCAAGACTGAAGGGGAGGAGCCGGTACGCCTGTGCAAGACTGAAAGGGAGGAGCCGGCACACCTGTGCAAGACTGAAGGGGAGGAGCCGGTACACCTGTGCAAGGCTGAAGGGGAGGAGCCGCTACACCTGTGCAAGACTGAAGGGGAGGAGCCAATACACCTGTGCAAAACTGAAGGGGAGGAGCCGGCACACCTGTGCAAGACTGGAGGGGAGGAGCCAGTACACCTGTGCAAGACTGAAGGGGAGGAGCCGCCAACCTGTGCAAGGCTGAAGGGGAGGAGCTGACACACCTGTACAAGACTGAAAGGGAGGAGTCGGTACACCTGTGCAAGACTGGAGGGGAGGAGCCGGTACAACCTGTGCAAGACTGAAGGGGAGGAGCCGGCACACCTGTGCAAGACTGAAGGGGAGGAGCCGGCATACCTGTGCAAGACTGAAGGGGAGGAGCCGGTACACCTGTGCAAGACTGAAGGGGAGGAGCCGACACAACTGTGCAAGACTGAAGGGGAGGAGCCGGTACACCTGTGCAAGACTGTAGGGGAGGAGCCGGTACACCTGTGCAAGACTGAAGGGGAGGAGCCGGTACACCTGTGCAAGACAGCTGAAACACCTGTGCAAGACTGAAGGGGAGGAGCCGGTACACCTGTGCAAGACTGAAGGGGAGGAGCCGGTACACCTGTGAAAGACTGGAGGGGAGGAGCCGGTACAACTGTGCCGGACTGAAGGGGAGGAGCCGGTACACCTGTTCAAGACTGAAGGGGAGGAGCCGGTACACCTGTGCAAGACTGAAGGGGAGGAGCCGGTACACCTGTGCAAGACTGAAGGGGAGGAGCCGGTACACCTGTGCAGGACTGAAGGGGAGGAGCCGGTACACCTGTGCAGAACTGAAGGGGGGATCGGAGAATAAATATCTCTCACTAAAACGATTTTATTTCAGTGGGTAAGACCCCCTGTGGTGATTTTTGGGGAGATTCTCTTTACTTTCTTTCCTATAGACAGAACAGGAATATTCCCTCTTAGTTGTCACCGGAGCCGGTGTCCCCTTTGTGAATATTTGCTGTTTTGGTGACAACATTTCAGGTTTCTCACTCTCAGTCAATAAAGGTAAAAAGAAAAAAAAAAATCAACAGATTGCAGTTTTCCTTTATTATTCTCCAGCGCCTGAAGTCTTGGTTTTGGGGTGGAGTGGCCCTTTAAGGACATGCATGTCTGTGTGGCAGGTCATTGGTACGGCCATGTGGCGTGCGTCCTGCAGGTGGCGCCGGACTCTCACTCTCGGCCTCCCCCTCTGTACAGTATAGAGGCGGCACGTCAGCGCAGAGTATAAATCTGCAGAGGAGTCTGGGAGCTGCTCAGTTGTGTGTTGGGGATTCGGTGACACCGGCAGCTCGGTGACAACATGTTCTATTCTGGGATCCTGACCGACAGCGGCGGAGGCAGGAAGGAGGCTGACCTCAGGGAGGCTGCGTCGCTACGGCAACAGAGGAGGATGAAACAGTCGGTCCAGTTCATCCACAAGGACTCCGCCGACCTTCTGCCCCTCGATGGACTCAAGAAGCTCGGCACATCCAAGGACACGGTAAGGAGAAACCACTTTTTTTATGAGAAAAAAAACACAGAAAACGTAAGGAGGTCACTTTGGTGTCATATATTTGGGGGTGTGGGCGATGGTGGCCAACTTCCTTGTCATTGAGATCCTCAAGTGTGGCCTCAGATGTCACCAAATGGCCACATAGAGTATTTATTGCTATGGAAAGCTGTCAGAGACTGCAGACATGGTACAGGAGACGGTCAGAGACTGCGGACACAGTACAGGAGATAGTCAGAGACTGCGGACAGTACAGGAGACGGTCAGAGACTGCGGACACAGTACAGGAGACGGTCAGAGACTGCGGACACAGTACAGGAGATAGTCAGAGACTGTAGAAATAATACAGGTGATGGTCAGAGACTGCAGACTGCGGACATAGTACAGGAGATGGTCACAGACTGCGGACATAGTACAGGAGATGGTCAGAGACTGCAGACATAGTACAGAAGATGACCAGAGACTGCAGACATAGTACAGGAGATGGTCAGAGACTGCGGACATAGTACAGGAGATGACCAGAGACTGCGGACATAGTACAGGAGATGGTCAGAGACTGCAGACATAGTACAGGAGATGGTCAGAGACTGCGGACATAGTACAGGAGATGGTCAGAGACTGCAGACATAGTACAGGAGATGGTCAGAGACTGCGGACATAGTACAGGAGATGGTCAGAGACTGCGGACACAGTACAGGGGATGACCAGAGACTGCAGACATGCTACAGGAGATGACCAGAGACTGCGGACACAGTACAGGAGATGGTCAGAGACTTCAGATATAGTACAGGAGATGACCAGAGACTGCAGACACAGTACAGGAGATGACCAGAGACTGCAGACATAGTACAGGAGATGACCAGAGACTGCAGACACAGTACAGGAGATGGTCAGAGACTGCGGACATAGTACAGGAGATGACCAGAGACTGCGGACATAGTACAGGAGATGACCAGAGACTGCGGACACAGTACAGGAGATGACCAGAGACTGCGGACATAGTACAGGAGATGACCAGAGACTCCGGACACAGTACAGGGGATGAGCAGAGACTGCGGACACAGTACAGGAGATGGTCAGAGACTGCAGACATGGTACAGGAGATGACCAGAGACTGCAGACATAGTACAGGAGATGGTCAGAGACTGCAGACGTAGTACAGGAGATGGTCAGAGACTGCAGACATAGTACAGGAGATGGTCAGAGACTGCAGACACAGTACAGGAGATGGTCAGAGACTGCGGACACAGTACAGGAGACGGTCAGAGACTGCGGACACAGTACAGGAGATAGTCAGAGACTGTAGATGTAGTACAGGAGACAGTCAGAGACTGCAGACATAGTACAGGAGATGGTCAGAGACTGTAGAAATGATACAGGAGATGGTCAGAGACTGCAAACGTAGTACAGGAGATGGTCAGAAACTGCAGACATAGTACAGGAGATGGTCAGAGACTGCAGACACAGTACAGGGGATGGTCAGAGACTGCAGACATGCTACAGGAGATGACCAGAGACTGCGGACACAGTACAGGAGATGGTCAGAGACTTCAGATATAGTACAGGAGATGACCAGAGACTGCAGACATAGTACAGAAGATGGTCAGAGACTGCTGAGATACTACAAGAGAAGACCAGGGGCTGCAGACGGTCCGAGAATATGAGACGTGCTGTAGGAGTTGTCCGACACTGGGGACATGCTTAAGTATCACAGACTGGAGTCGTTACATGAGACTGCTAGAGATTACAGCCATTACATCAACCTTCTCCCATCTGCGCTCCCCACAGCATCATCATCAGCGACTGGAGCCACACCTGACATTCTGCTCAGTCAGATCCATCATAAAAGATCAGAGGAAACAAAAACATACAAAGAGACGGATGGGATGGAAAACTGAAAAATTGTGTAGAAGAAAAAAAATATTTAATTTCTGAAATCCGATTTGAAGAATATTTTCCTTTATTGTCCTTCATATGAACCTTAATAAGGAAAAGACAAGCTTCAACCTGCAGGGGTCCCCTGAGGGCCACACAGCAGGTCCCTGAGGGCCACACAGCAGGTACCCGAGGGCCACACAGCAGGTACCCGAGGGCCACAGGTTGAGCACTGGGCTTCTAAGGGGTAATAAAGATGACATGTGCAGAAATGATCCATATTGATGGAAGAATCATTTCATTTGCAACAATGTTTCCAAAAAAAGTGTTTGGAAGAAAATAAACATTGCAACCGCAGCAGAGCGGCGCAGAAGGCGTTTCCTCCACTGGAGCCTCTGATAGGGTAGATGGAAAACTCTGGCACGGGCGGGGTCGGGATTTTTTTCTGAATTATAAATATTTTTGGAAATGGAATCCGTTTTCACCGAAAAAACCCTCCAAAGTCGCATTCTAAAGAAGTAGCTTTTCAGCTAAAAGAAAACCTACCTGAATGCTCATGAACGCGCCCAAACACGTGAAAACGCAATTTATGAGCGTTCGGCGTTTTTCATGCACATTGGTCAGAATGAAAATGTATTTTCATTGGATATATTTCATATACTGTGTTATCTATATATAAAATTATACATTTTATTTTATTGTATATTATTTATATTATTATATTGTGTTTTTTTCTGGTATTTTTAAATAATAAAACTATTTATGCAATCTTTAATTTTTTAAATATATATATATATATATGGGGCTTTTTTCCTCAGTCTCTGCCCCCTACCTACATCCAAGCACCGTTTCTTGGTTCCGCCCCTTACGTATCTCCCAGTGCTGCCCTTTTTGGACAAGAAAAGCAGTAAAATAGATCTTCTTGCAACCAGCAGCAATAGATCCCCTCCGGCAACAATAGATCCCTCCGGCAACAATAGACCACCTGCAACACAATGACCCCGCAACAACAGATTTACCCCAGCAAAAATAGAACCCCTGCCAGCATTAATAGACCCTCCAGCAGCCAGCAACTATAGGTCCCTCCCTCCCTCAACACTAGATCCCTCCCAGCAACAAAATCAATAGACCTTCCACCAGAACCCCAGAACCCCTTGCTATCACATACATTCAGTGCTGGAGATGGTGGAACTGCGTTCCCAATGAAAAAAATCCCTGAATATATATATATATATACAGTTGCAAGAAAAAGTATGTGAACCCCTTGGGATTACGTGGAGTTTTGCATGAATTGGGCAAAAATGTGCTCTGAACGTCATCTAAGTCACAACAATAAAAGAACACAGTCTGCTGAACATAATACTACACAAACATTAGACGTTGCCATGGTTTAATTGCACATAACATGTAAACATTCACAGTGCAGGGAGGAAAAAGTATGTGAACCTTTGGACTTAATAACTGGTTGACCCTCCTTTGGCAGCAATAACCTCAACCAAACGTTTCCTGTAGTTGCAGATCAGACCTGCACAACGATCTGGAGTCATTTTGGACCACTCCTCTTCACAAAACTGTTTCAGTGTAGCAATATTCTTGGGATGTCTGGTGTGAATCGCTCTCTTAAGGTCATGCCACAGCATTTCAATGGGGTTGAGGTCAGGACTCTGACTGGGCCACTCCAGAAGGCGTATTCTGTGCTGTTGCAGCCATTGTTTTGTTGAATTACTTGTATGCTTTGGGTCATTGTCCTGTTGCCTCACCCATCCTCTGCAGAGCTTCAGTTGGCGGACAGATGGTTGTACGTTTTCCTGCAAAATGTCTTAATAAACTCTGGAATTCATTTTCCCATCAATGACAACAATCCATCCAGGCCCTGAGGCAGCAAAGCAGCCCCAAACCATGATGCTCCCTCCGCCATGTTTCACAGTGGGGATGAGGTTTTGATGTTGGTGTGTTGGTGTGCTGTGCCTTTTTTTTTCTCCACACATAATGTTGTGTGTTCTTCCCAAACAACTCAATCTTGGTTTCATCTGTCCACAGTATATTCTGCCAGTAGTGCTGTGGAACATCCAGGTGCTCTTTTGCAAACTTCAAACGTGCTGCAATCTTCTTTTTGGACAGCAATGGCTTCCTCCGTGGTGTCCTTCCATGTACTCCATTCTTGTTTAATGTTTTCCTTATTGTAGATGTGTCAACAAAAATGTTAGCATGTGCCAGAGATTTCTGTAGGTCTTTAGCTGACACTCTGGGATTCTTCTTTATCTCATGCAGCATTCTGCGCTGTGCTCTTGCAGTCATTTTTACAGGACGACCGCGCCTAGGGAGAGTAGCAACAGTGCTAAACTTTCTCCATTTGTAGACAGTCTGTCTTACCGTGGACACATGAACATCAAGGCTTTTGGAGATACTTTTGTAACCCTTTCCAGCTTCATGCAAGTCAACAATTCTTGATCGTAGGTCTTCTGAGAGCTCTTTTCTGCGAGGCATGGTTCACATCAGACAGTGCTTCTTGAAACCAGTAAACCCAAAACAGGTGTGTGTTTTTAAGGGTAGGACAGCTGTCAGCAACACATCCAATATCATCACACTGATTGGAGTCAAGGTTGGCTCACTCCTGGCTCCAATTAGCTCTGGGAGAAGTCATTAAGCTAGGGCCTCACATACTTTTTTCCTCCCTGCACTGTGAATGTTTACATGTTATGTGCAATGAAACCATGGCAACATCTAAAGTTTGTGTAGTATTATGTTCAGCAGACTGCGTTCTTCTATTGTTGTGACATAGATGACGTTCAGAGCACATTTTATGCCCAATTCATGCAAAACTCCACGTAATCCCAAGGGGTTCACATACATTTTCTTGCAACTGTATATATAAAAGGAAATTAAGAAAAAACCCTCCAGAATAGTTAAAAATAATGAATACAATGTAACACTTTAATAAAATTATATAAAATAACATAAATAATATCATTTTATTATTTAAAAAAATAAATAATAATATTTTTAAAAATATCTCCTGTCTTCTCTCTCTCACTCCTACCTCTCTCCTCTCTCTCCTTCCCCCTCTCTCTCTTTCTATCCCTCTCTCTCTCCTCTCTCTCCCCCCCCCCCTCTCTCTCCTACCTCTCTTATCTCTCACCCCCCCACTTCTCCTCTCTCTCCTTCTCTCTCTCCTTCACCCCCCCTCTCTCTACCCCCCTCTCTCTCTCTCTCCTACCTCTCTTCTCTCTCTCCCCTTCCCCCCTCTCTCCCCTCCCCAGCCCCTCTCTCTCTTACCTCTCTCTCTATCCTCTCTCTTCTCTCTCTCTCTCTCCCCCTCTCCCCCCTCTCTCTCTCTCACCTCTCTCCTCTCTCTCCTCTCTCTCCCCCCTCTCTCTCTCTCCCCCCTTCTCTCTCTCTCTCTCTCTCCTCCCTCCCCCCCCCCTCTCCCTCTCTCCCTCTCCTCTCTCTCTCCTCCTCTCTCCCCTCTCTCTCTCCTACCTCTTCCCCCCCCCCTCTCCCTCTCTCTCTCTCCCTCTCTCTCTCTCCTACTCTCTCTCTTTCCCCCCCTCTCTCTCTCTCCTTCTCTCTCTCTCCCTCCCCCCTCCCCCTCTCCTCTCTCCCCTCTCTCTCTCCTACCTCTTCCCCCCCCCCTCTCCCTCTCTCTCTCCTCACCTCTCTCCTCTCTCTCCTCTCTCTCCCCCCCTCTCTCTCTCCCCCCTTCTCTCTCTCTCTCTCTCTCTCCCCCTCCCCCTCTCTCCCTCTCTCTCCTCTCTCCTCTCTCTCTCCTCTCTCCCCTCTCTCTCTCCTACCTCTTCCCCCCCCCCTCTCCCTCTCCCTCTCTCTCTCTCTCCTACTCTCTCTTCCCCCCCTCTCTCTCTCCTTCTCTCTCTCTCCTCCCCTCCTTAATGCATTGTGGTCATTTGGGATTGAAAAAATGAGGGTGTGTTTGGAAAAAAAAAACGCTTATAACCGCTAAAGCTCGAAAACATGCGTAAAGGTGTGATAAAATCACAGCAAAACATATTTTTAACTCAGCCCAACTTTGAGCAGTTTTGGCTTTGTAGGCTACCTATTGTGCATGAGGCCTTAGTGTCGCTGATCTCCTCCCAGCGATGGCTGAATGGCATTTCTCAGGTGACAACAATAGACCACGTGTTGCAGTCTTCATTGGAAGCTCGTGTGACAGGGTGACAACACAGGAGCACAATTGGGAGAACAGGGAGAGAGAGTTGTGTCACCCTACAACAGGAAGTGACCTTCATGGCAGGAACACTAGAAAGCTGCTTCTACAGGATATAAATATTGAAAATGCCTTTAGAAATGACATTAACATGTTGCAAATAAAGAATATTCGGCAGGCTGGAAGGAAATCCTTAGAAAGACGCACATGTGATGCCAGTGTGATCGCAGCCAAGAGGCTTTGGAGAATGTCAGCGATTGGCCGGCTGTGAAGTGCTTATTCTAGGAAGGAAGCCGTTTCTGTTAGTCTATTATTTTTGCCAATAAAAGACTGTTAGCCGATCGATTTTAATTATTGGGATAATACGGGATGTACATAGAGAAGGGGGCTGGGTCATGTGACAGACATGGTGGCTGAGTGGTCAGCAACCTCCAGTCCTGCAGCAGAGTGGTCTGCCGTGGTTCTCCGATCTTGTGCAAAAGGTATCTATCGGATCAGACATGTGCACGCTCCGTTCGTTTCCAATTTGGAAATCTGACCACTTTTTCATTATTTTGAGATTCTGATGTATCCCAATTTCCGAATTACAACGTAATGAATTTACCCCTTTCCAGTCCGGACACTTTCCCCCCCCTTCAGTCCCGGACACTTTCCCCCCCCCCTTCCAGTCCCGACAACTTCCCCCCTTCCAGTCCGGCACCTTTCCCCCCGGACACTCCCCCCCCCCCGCACTTTCCCCCCCCCTTTCCGTCCGGACACTTTCTCCCCTTCCCGTCCGGCACTTCCCCCCCTTCCTTTTCCCGGGAAATTCCCCCCCTTCCAGTCCGGACACTTTCCCCCCTTCCGTCCGGACACTTTTCCCCCCCCTTCC